GGAAGTGGTGCTGTGGCTCAAGTGGTAGAGCGCTAGCCTTGAGCTGAAGAGCTGAGGGACAGTGCCCAGGCCCAGAGTTCAGGCCCCACGACCGGACCCCAAAAAAATCATTATTATTAGATAAAAGTTCTTATTTGTGCATAGCTGGGAAACCATAGGTCAGTTAGCGGTTGAAGTCTGGAGTTCAAATCCTGTTGCCACAGTGCTACACACACACACACACACACACACACACACACACACACACTTTTGCATTTTCTTCTTAGTTCTTTTATTGCAAAGAAAAAATGCATTTTGTCCTTGAATACAACAATAGTTAGGGCCAGGAAACATCATTTGCTGTCATAATCAGTGTCAGTGAAGAGTCATCAGGGTGGTCTGAAATTATCTACTACCATTTTAATAGAAGGAAATAATTACGGCAAGGATACTTCTGTGTCATATTTCAGGGGATAGGGTGACAAGCACCTGATGGATACTCATTGCACAAAAGCTCATGGTTTTAGAATAATTGCTACAATAGGTAGAGTAGAAATCTTTGTCAGAATAAAAATTAGCTGAAGTACATTGTATCCTGATATATATATATGTGTATATATATATGTGTATATATGTGTGTGTGTATATATACTATATATATATATATATATATATATATATATATCCCTAACCAGAACTTCTTAGGTCAAATATTGAACAGAATCCAATTATGAAAGGTAATGGAATCATTCTTTGTGAAGCCTAGGCAGGCATATTTCAACTTGCTCATGGAGATGGCTGAAGAATTAAGCAGTAGTGAGTAGCTGTCAGCTGGACACAGGTCAGCAATAAAAGACTTATATAATAATAATAGTTGCAGCAGTAGCCATTAATTCATTAGAAATGGCCAAAGCAATGTGAGCGGAAAACAGATGCATCCTTTTAATGAACCCCAAGGTAATTATTCTTCACTGATTTAGTTCTGTGCCTCTATAAATTATATATTGCCCCCCAAGACTACTCACCGATGAGTCCTGCTGCCTTGTATTCATGCTGTTGTGGGCTGGCAACAGAAATGAACTGTTACCTCAGAGGTTAGATTAATGGGGCAGGGGACAATGGAGGTTTTAATCTAGGACCTTGCACATGCTAAGTGCACAATGTATCACTGAGCTACACCCTCAAACTGAGACTGTGGCTTCCACCTGGGTGTCTTGATCACTTACTCTGATGGAAGTCAGGGCCCACGTTTCCAGTCCCCACGTGGAGATGCTCATGTAGCAGGTTGCTAAGGGAGGCTGTCAGTCAGTAGGCAATGAAGATTGAGTCCCTCAGTCTAGCATAATAAAAGATTTATTGTTGTTTCAGGCTGCTAACTTGTTAGGCAGAAATAGATGAGTGATACAGATTTTAATATCTGGAGATGGAGTGCTGCTGAAATTCCTGAACTGTAGTGGTGCCTTGATACCATAGAGTAGTTGAAAGGTGGAAGGACTCAGGGAAATATTAGTGCAAACTGATAGCACCATGGTGGCCTTTCAAGAGGCTGCCAGTTAGGGCATATTGGAAAATATGGTTGGTAGAATTCTAAGATAGCTCTGAAATACCTAACTCTTTACTTTCTTATGTTGTATAATTGTTCCCTTTGAGCCTGAGCAAGAGTGTGATGTATGATGGGATATTGCTATCATGATTACATTGCATGATATGGCAAATGGGATTTTGCATATGTAAATTAGGTTCCTAAACAATTGACTTTGAGTTGGTCAAAAGGGAAATTGTCCTTGTATAGGCCCTTAAAAGAGACAACAGCAATAGAGATTCTCCTGTTGGTCTTGAAGAAATGAACTAGTATGGGGCCAAAGGCTATATTCTGCAGGAAGTATGGGAGAAAAGTCTTCTGGGGAAACAATATTCGAAAACAAGGAGGTCTGAAAGTGCACAATCTATTGGGCTATAAGTAGAAAGCTCAAACTTGGAGAAGTTATGCCTAAATTCCTTAGATGATATCTTAGACTGTGAAACCCATCTAACACCTAAATTACTCTGCGACTCACCTGCAGATCTTTTTATCTAGAAGATGATAAAGATTCTAGCAGCATAACAGCAGTATGGGGGATGGATTGTAAAAAGCCTTGACAAAGAGGCTACTGTGAGCCTCTTGAGGAAAGATGATGAATGCACCAAGTGAATTTCCAATATAGCTTTGGGTTGGCCACTTAAGTTAAAATAAGGATGGCAATGGTGCCAACCTCATAGGGATGAAAACTGGGAAAATGTCCACCAGTCATCTGGCACTATGTCTGAGATGTGTACCCTTCATATATATGGAGGGTTAGAGAGTTTTTTGTACATGTAAAGGTAGTTCTACTCCAAAAACTACTTAATGACATGGACTTCAAGGTGTACACAAGGGTACAAATCTGAATAAGATGAACTAGTAAATATGTGTAAGTGTGATGATCCTGCAGCTGGAACTCAAGGCCTGGGTGTGGTTCCTTAGCTTTTTCACTCAAGGCTGGTACTCCACTGGACACAGCTCCATTTCCTGTTTATTTTCTTTTTTTGAGGGGGGGGGCTGCTGGTGGTGCTCATGGCTAATTGATCAGAGTCTTAATATCTTTCTTGCCTGGGCTTTGAACCACAGTCCTCAGACTTCAGCCTCTTGAGTCACTCATTACAGCCATGAACTACTAGGGCCCAGTTTACCAATAAATATTTGAGCAATTCTTTTTATTAATCCATTTTATCTTTGACATAATAACAGCACATATTTATATGACCAGTGGTATACACTTATGCATGGCAATTCATACATGCATGCAACAGCCAAATCAGAGTAATGAACATTTTCATCTTCTTAAGCATTTATCATTTCTTTGTTTTGGGACCCTTTGAACTTCCAGGGCCTTACACCTGTCAGGCAAACCGGTGCTCTACCCCTGGGCTAGACTCATAGTCCTTGTTTGACTGTATACCCTACCCCCTCCAGCTTCTCCCCTTCCTAGCATCTAGAAACCACTTTTGAAACTCTCCTCTGTAAATAATGAAGTAAATGAGAAGCGGAGGGTGCCAATCTTTAGGTCAAGGATTTTCCTGAAGCATTTTTCGCTTTCATTTACTGATCTTCTGACATTAACATACTAGACATCCCAACACCGTTTGTGAAAGACAAGACCAAAGAAACACAGCAGATGAAGAGCTGATTTGGAGTCTGAATTTAAAAATAATAAAATCACTGCTCTCGACTTTGGCACCCAGTGCAGTTAGAGGCGTGCACGGGTCAGGACCAGACTTGACAATTCAGAGTCAACCTTGCCCTTGACCCGCTTCTCCGAGAGCCTAGCCAGTCTCGTGTGCTCGCGAGAACTGGTCCGATTCCACCCGCAGCCCCAGGCGTCTCCCGAAGAGACGCGAGATTTGGCTCGGGAATACCGCCCCAGGCCCCGCCCCTCCCTCAGCTCAAAGCCCCGCCCCTTCTTTCCTTCGGGTTGCACGTGCAGTTGTTGTGGCCTGACGTCACTAGGCTCCGGAAGTGGTTACTTTTGGTCCCGCCCCCAAGATGGCGGCGCCCAGCGCACGAGTCCTCCACCGCCTTCTGCTCGGTCTCGGGTTTCGGTCTTGACCGGGATTGCGGGAACCATGGACGGGCCGGGGTTCACTGCCTCGCTGGTGGTGAGTGCGGGGCACTGGGTTGGGTTGCTTGGATGACCACAGTCCGGCAGTGGAGCCGGTAGGAGCGTCTCCGCGGGGAGCTGGCTTCCGGTTTTGCGCGTTGGCCTCTCCTGGGGTCACTGGCAGCCGCGGGGCCGAGTGTGGAAGGCACGCGCGTCCTGCCCCGCACGCCAGTCCTGCCCCGCACGCCCGTCCCGCTCCCGCACGTGCGTCAGCGAGGGGAAGGAGGGTGTCGGACTCTCCTCACGCTCCTCGCCCTCGAACACCGCCGTTTTGATTGAGATATTAAATGCGGGAACCCAGCGCGCACACGGGCAAAGCCTCGCCCAGGTCGCTCGCAGCGCTTCCGGCCCAGGCCGTGCTGTATCTTTCTCTCCGTTTTAGAAAGTGACACTTCCAGTCGTTCCTTTAGTGCCTCGCCAGCCCACCTTTCCTGCTGAAAGCTGAGGCTTTGAGGAAATACTGAGGAGCACAAACGACCGGGCTGTGGACTCTTGAGTGTCACCTGTTTAATCCCCTAGGAAAAGAGGAAGCCACACGTTTTAACCTCCGAAGTTAAGTGAGCAAGTGCGAAGGTTGCGTGTCTGTTAGAGCATAATCGGCAAGGACACTTGGTACAGCAGTCAATAAGGCAGGTTGGCAGACTATGTTTTCATTGTGCAGAAGTGGACAGAGGCCTACAATGAGCACAGTACTTCAAAAAATGCCTCTCATGTGGCACATGGCAGCCTTGAAGCTTTTATTCATCTAAGTATGTGAGTGCAGGTGTTAGAGTGGTAAACAACATACCTAATAAAAGGATCAGATGTTGGAGACAGTAGTAAATGTTAGGTTTTTAAAAAGAGGTAGAGCTGAGTAAGAACTGCACCAGCACGCACGTGGTATTCAGGTAAGGGGTAGGTTTATTCAGTAGACCTGCTGGGACCAGGCAAGGTTGGCACTCCACGTGGCTGGGAAAGAGAGGAAAGAGCTAGAGCAGAGAAAGAGCAGAGAGAGCTAGAAAAGAAGAGGAAGAGCAAGGGAGCAAGAGCAAGAGCAAGAGCAAGAGCAAGAGCAAGAGCGCATCTGGGCCTGGGCTAGGCCTTATGTAGGGGATGGGCGGGGAAAGGTGTGGCCACATCAAATTCAGATGTGACCTCAGCAGATGCAGATGTGACCTCTTCCAGGTGTCCCAGTTGCCTAGGTAACGCAGGTACTGGTTGGAGACTTTGCTGCGAGGAGGGTGGAGTCTGCTTGCCATCCAGGGGCGGACCTTACAGTAAAATAACTGCTAGGATAAATGACAGGTGAGCTAGGTTCAGGGCATAATGGGAAAGGATGGATGGAAAGATTGTCTCTAGGAGATAACCACATGACTCTTGAGATCATTGGACTGCTAGTAGGCAAAATCAGTCCTCAGACCCAATCAAGCTCCATGCAGGCTGCGTGTTCTCCATGTGTTGTGTAGCCTGTCTGATTGGATATTTGTTCATTAGACTGTTTTTCCTGTACAAGTCTTCCAGTGACAACGGGCCATGATACCATTGCCCAAGGGCTGGGAAGCATGACTGCTGAAGGTCCTGGTGATGTGATCTGTCGGTGCCTATGTAGGGGACAGCTGAAGGCCTTGCTATGGGATGTAGAACCGGGGAGGGGGAGGGACGCCGGGGAGGGCTTTTGCCCTGATTGCCTAGGCAAGCTCTTTTTTCCTCTCTTTCAATACTTGGAATGTTTTAGAATTTGGTAATTTAGTGGTAAATGACTTTTTAATGTACTTTCCACTTCCAAATCCTAATAGTATATGTTGAAAGTTGCTTAAATCAATTCAGTTTTTACACGGATAAAATATGAGTAACATTAGTGAAATTTCAAATAAAGGTAAATTTACACTCCCAATTATCCCACTTTTACAAGTTGAGTATCTTCTGTTCAGACAGTTATATTTGCTTCATTGCCCTGGTGCTGGCTATAGAATGCCTCAGAGAAACTGTGCCTTCATCAATTTATGGTCTGTTACAGATATTCTCCCAGTCTTCATGGACTTAGGGTCTAGTTGAAGGCAGATGTTAAATAGAAAGTAGGTGTAATGGTGTAGTGTACATCAGTGGAGCCTTATCTAGCTTGCTTGAGGTCCTAGATTCAATCTCTAGCAGTGAAAAATAGAAAACTTCAGTTATATAATTGCAAATAGAGATGGAACAGTTTTTTTTTGGGGGGGGGGAGTCCGGTCGTGGGGCCTGAACTCTGGGTCTGGGCGCTGTCCCTCAGCTCTTCAGCTCAAGGCTAGTGCTCTACCACTTGAGCCACAGCGCCACTTCCAGCGTTTTTCTTTTTGCTTATGCGGTGCTGAGGAATCGAACCCAGGGCCTCCTGCATGCAAGGCAAGCACTCTACCACTGAGCCACCTTCCCAGCCCCAAGGAACAGTTTTTTACCTAGCACTTTAACAGGTGCTTGTGCAAATTTTTCATAGCTCAAGTCATATAGGTTTGCTATTCTACTTAAATAAAACATAACTTCAAGTGGTGAAACTGTTCTAAAGCAGTTTGAATGTTAATATTTCCCTTAGGTTTTCAGTTAATGCTGAATTGTTCCTGCCATGCATAGCATGGTTTGGTTTCCGCAAGCCCATGGGTAACTTTTGTCCAGATAGCTGACTTTTTTCCTCTTTTTTTTTTTTTTCCTTCTGGTGGTAGTGTTTGAACTCAAGGCTTCATGTTTGAGGTCTAACTGGTGCCCTACCACTTGAGCTATGCTTCTAGCTCTGCTTTTTTGCCATGTTATCATTATTATTTGAATTCAGATTATTATACTATCTAGGTAAGCACTAGTTCCCTGATTGTCAGGAACCACAAGTCTTTGTTACTGACCCTGGCTTATATGTATTTATTTATTTATTTTTTTGGTCCGGTCTGAACTCTGGGCCTGGGTTCTGTCCCTCAGCTCTTCAGCTCAAGGCGAGCACTCTACCACTTGAGCCATAGCCCCACTTCCGGCTTTTTTTTTCTTTTTGTTTATGTGGTGTTGGGGAATCGAACCCAGGGCCTCACGCATGCAAGGCAAGTGCTCTACCACTGAGCCACCTTCCCAGCCCCATATGTATTTATTTTTATTTGGGGGATTGGCTTGGCCAATTCAGTGTACTTTTTTTTTAAAAGATTGATTTGTAATAATTTCTAAAAGTGGAGATAGTAACCCCTTGCTGTAGTCATTGAGTACCTTCTGTGTACTGATGATAGGAACATTGGTAATTAAAATGTAGGTCTAGTGTAATCTAGTGGGGCAGATATTGAACACATAGTCAAGATACTCAGCTATAATATTAAATTTTTGACTAGGGCTTAGAAACAAGGAAATCTACTACCAGAAATGGAGACATAGGGAGTATCTATAGCAGGTCTCTGAAATAAGGAAAATCAGAAGATAGGCGATAAAAGGGTAGCAAGAAGGAACTGGTCCATAGTTCAAGTATGAAATCTGGAAGGCTCTGTTGGGTTCCCTCCCCCCTCCCCCCCTTTTTTTTTTGCCAGTCCTGGGGCTTGTATTCTAGGCCAGGGCACTGTCCCTGAGCTTCTTTTGCTCAAGGCTAGCTCTCTACCACTTGAGCCACAGCCCCACTTCCAGCCTTTTCTGTTTATGTGGTACCGAGGAATCAAACCTAGGGCTTCATGCATGCTGAGCAAGCTCTCTACCACTAAGCCACATTCCCAGCTCTGTTCTTTCTTGAGACTGTTAGCCTGGAAACTGGCAAGGTAACATTTACATTCTACACCAGTGAGTTTGTGTTTAGTGTAGAGTGGGTAGCAGTGCTGTAGAGACTGTGAAGCTGGGGAAGGAGGTAAGGATCACAGGCCCATGGGAGTGGTGGTGCAAATCGCTGGTGACCTCTTGGTTGTGGAAGAAACAGAATGTCAGGAGGACTGGCTCCACTGGGAAGCTATAGTAAAGTTATATCTTGTTCTTGTTAGATGTTCAGGCTGGTGGCTGGTGATTTTCCTTAGTTAAATTATTCAGGTGGTTTGAGTTTTGTCTTGGGTTTGAGCAGTGGTCATTTTTTTCCTGTTTTTGTGCTTAGCTGCCTAGGTCTTGACCTTTTTGAATTCCTTGAGTAATTTCATAGCACTAATCAAACACTTGCTATTTATAACCTGGAGGCACTTTTTACATTTCTTAGGAAGGGCATGTATTTTTTAAAAAGTATTGACTTATATCAGTAATACAGGAGGGGTTAGGATATTATTGTTACATCTCCATAAATGTTAACAATGTATTCTAATCAACTTCATCCCTGCATCACATTCCTTGTACCCTTCTGTGTAAGAAACAGTGTCTCCAGCAGATTTCCTTGTTCCATTTTCATAGTTTAGAAGTCTTATTTTTGACAGTCAAGAAGGCTGTGTGTTTTATCTGCTTAAATTTGGGATCTTGTTTAGTTGATTTACTGTAGCATGATTATCCAGGTTATTCTATTTCTTTGGATTTTGTCACTTTTATAATTTTTTAGTGTAAATCTTGAAATTAACCACTTGCTTGATAGGCTTTTTGATAAATGACCATAAGGAACTAAAGAACAAAAGAATTTGATAATTTCTTATAATCCAATTGATGTTTGTGCAGTTATAGTCAAGACAATATTGATATAAAATTAGGGGCATTCTGCGCTGGGAAGTTGGCTCAGTGGTAGAGCGCTTGCCTTGCATGCCTGAGGCCCTGGGTTCGATTCCTCAGCACCACATAAGCAAAAAGAAAAAAACACAGAAGTAGGGCTGTGACTCAAGTGGTAGAGCTCTAGCCTTGAGCTGAAGAGCTGAGGGACAGTTCCCAGGCCCAGAGTTCAGGCCCCACGACCGGACCCCAAAAAAGAAAAAAAAATTAGGGGCATTCTGTGGGTTTTGTTTAAATTTTAAATATTTGGTGTGGTAAATATAGGAATTCTTATTCTTTAGATTAGATGTCATGTTTTTTACTTTAATTCGTGTGTGTGTGTGTGTGTGTGTGTGTGTGTGTGTGTGTTGGTACTAGGCCTTGAACTCAGGGTTTCCCGGCTTTTTTGCTCAAGGCTGATGCTCTGCCACTTAAGCCACAGCTCCACTTCTGAGGTTTTTTTTTTTTTTTGGCAGTTTATTGGAAATAAGAGTCTCACAGATTGGGAGGGAGGGGTGGGGGGATGGGGAAGCCGGTCAAGCTTGCTTCCAACCACGACCCTCAGATCTCAGCTTCATTAGTATAGTTAGGATTACAGATGTGAGCTATCAGTGCCTGGCTTGTCTTTTGTTGTTGTTGTTGGTCATGGGGCTTGACTACAAGGCCTGGGTGCTGTCCCTGAGCTTTTTTGCTCAAGAGCAGCACTCTACCACTTGAACCACACACAGTCTACTTCTAGTTTGCTGGTGGTTAATTGGAGATAACAGGCTTTCACCAAGATCCTCAGATCTCAACTTCCTAAGTAGCTAGGATTATAAGCGTGAGTTACCAGTGCCTATCTTGTTTTCTATTCTTTTTTTTGAGGGGGAGGGGGGATGCCCTGTTCCTGGGGCTTGAACTCAGGGCCTAGGCATTGTCCCTGAGCTTCTTTTTGCTCAAGGCTAATGCTATACCACTGAAGCCACAATGCCACGTAAGTGTTTTCTGAGCAGTGTATTGGAGAGAAGAGCTTCATGGCCTTTCCTACCCAGGCTGGCTTCAAACCCTGATCCTCAAATCACAACCCCCAGATTAGCTAGGATTACAGGTGTGAGACATTGCCACCTAGTTTGTCTTCTATTGTTATGAATTTAAGTGACTTTAGTTACAGAAGCTTGAAATCCACAAAAGCAATTAGTAACTTTTGATTCATGTTTTACTAGATAAGTAGATTGAATCTGGCCATTTTACTCTCAGAAGATAAGGATTTTGATGAAAGAAGGGGTAAAGAATCAATGCCTACAAAGTAGCCGAGAAGGTTAAGACAGTAGCTTATTGATTACAACTTAGCAGCAGCCCTCAAGTATTTCTCTGAACTCTCTCCTAAGATTAAAGAGAAAATCACAATAAGATTAAAAAAGGTTTTTTCACAGAATTGTCAGACATTCACAGCAGATTTTATTCTTCTCGTGTATTAAGAAAATGAAAAAGCAGACAAATGATTTCATTTACTTGCTGAATTTTATAAAAACCCATAAAAATAAATGAGAAGAATATGAAAAAGGTAGCTTTTTTTTTTTAGGTTCCTACACTTTCAGTTTTTTCCTAGAACTGAGAAAAGTGTTCTCTGTGTGTGTATGTGTGTGTGTGTCCAGAAGCATCCCACAGTAGTGGTTATTCCTTTTTGGGGGTAGGGTAGAATCTCAAAGTCCTGGGTTCAGGTGATTCTTACACCCATGCTTTCCAAGTCTTCAGGCTACATTTGCCTGCCCTTGTACCTATCGTGGTTATCTTTTTAAATTTTTTTGTTAGCATAAATAAGTAGTATGAAGAGCTTTCATTGTGATAGTTCTATAGATCCATATAGTGTACTTTGAACAAGTTCATCCCCTTTATTATAATACCATATTCTCCTTTGCCCTTTCCCCCTTCTTTTCAGACTGTTTGGTGGGTTTCATTATGGTGTCCTCTACCTCATGATCCTTTTCACTTCTCATTGTCCTTTTATGCAGGTATTTCTCTGTGCTCTTTCAGTTCATCCACTGAGTAGATCTTCCTAGTCTCTGAAATTATTTTCATGTCTCAGGCTGATTATATAGAATTACAATATTAATAGCTATGGTAATTTTCTAGTGTAAACTGATTTTTAGTAATTTACTTTTGTTAAAAATAGGCATTATTAGGGTATTTAATTTTTCCAGTTAACTCTCACATTAGTTTTATAGTAAATACCAGGAAGAACATTTACAGTATTGGGGATGCACCAAGCTTTGTACCACCAGAGTATTTTGTAAACTTAAAGCATGGACATGGCTGAATTTGAACTTTGTATGTTTGAACAGTAGTGTTGCTTCTTTTTCTGTGTCATGGAATGTGTGGTTTTTTAAATGTGAATTTTTATTTTTTATATGTTCAAGGTGATTTACTGAAGGACCCTAATGGACTAAATAATTCTTCCAAGCAAAATAGCCAAGTAAATTAAGGTCCATCCTTACAGAATGTTATGCAGCTTTCTAATAAACAGGAAAATTTAAGTTACTCAGCTATGTGGAAATAACTCTAACTTATGTTATGAATTATTTTAATTCAGTTTCTTCATCTGTATACCAGGGAAGTTGGACTAAAACATCTCTAAAGTTTGACTGAGGATATAGCTCAGTAGTAGAATGCATGTACAAGGCCTGGAGTTCCATCCTGAGAACCATGCGACATCTCTAATTAGATTTTTAAACTTTTTAAAATAATAATTTAAAGAAGTGATATATTCACATGATAGGAATAAAAAATAGAAAAAGGAAGTTTAGTTAACAATTCCCATGTAGGCTCAAGCCTGTAATCCTAGCTGTTTGGGTGGTAGAGCCCAGGTGATGGGGTTCAAGGTTTGAGTGAGCAGAGGGGAGGGTTCACAGATCTCTCTACCAGTGCCTGGAGTGGTGGTGGATGCTTATCATCCCAAGATACAGGGAAGGAGAGAGGGGCCAGGCACGGGCTGAGTGCCTTGGCACTTCTGTCATGTTAGTGATGCATGGGAGCACAAATAGGATCAAAGTTGTTATAAAAATACGCTCCAAGACACACTGTAGTCACCACCAAGACACAAAGAATAGTTTCAGCAAGGCAAAGTTTACTTCTGCACAGAAGAGCTCACCATTAGCCAAAATCTAGGCAAGCAAGCTCACACAGCAGGTGGGCTGCTCCCTATTTATCCCTAACACAGCAGACACTGCCCCTCTGCTGAAAAAGCTTGAACTAGATCTCCTGGCCATTGGCTAAAAGGGTCAAAAGCTTTTTTTTTTGAATATGGCTTACTTAACAGAAATAAGAACTTAATGGGCTTGTTTGTAACAGGATGGCTTGTCAAGAACTGGAATAGGATGTAACTAAAACTTAATGAGCTTGTAACAACATGGAAGTGATGTACTTTGATCCACTTTGATAGAAAAGATGGCTTCCCCCCCCCCGCCCCCACGCAGTCCAGGCTATTGAGGTATAAATTGAGACCTTGTCACAAAAATTCCCAGTGTAATTAGGGACTAGAGGTATAGCTCAAATGGTAGAGCACAAGCTTTGAGGAAAAAGGCCATTGAAGAGTTCAAGCTTCAGGACCAGGCAAGTAAAAAAAAAAAAGCTTAATTCACTAACATTCATTTAGAAAGCAAATTCAATACAAAATTTATAGCTAGCATGTATGTTTGTATCACGACTATAGTTATATGTCTAGAAAAAAATAGATTAAGGTGGAAAATTCTTTGTGCAAAGCTTGTGGACTGGAAGGTATGAAAAACCTCCATGGCAGTGAACTTACTTATTGTAACCCTTTTTTCTCCCCACCCCATTTTTTCTTTAAAGGCTGGAGGAGTAGCAGGTACCTCAGTTGACTTGATACTATTTCCTCTGGATACCATTAAAACCAGGCTTCAGAGTCCTCAGGGATTCAATAAGGCTGGTGGCTTTCGTGGGATATATGCTGGTGTCCCTTCTACTGCTATTGGATCCTTTCCTAATGGTAAGTCTTATGTTGATACTCTCTCTGCTTTCTAGCCCAAATAAGGGGACTTATTTTCAGAATGGCATGTAACATTATCTAACAAAATTCCTTTTTTGTATAGCTTATTTTCTGACTTTATCTGTTCAAAAAATCCATTGTTTTTGAACAGGTAGTGCTATGGAGTCTATTCTAGTATGCTTACAGTAGAAAAGAATGATTAGTCTCTTGTTCTTTTTTTGGTGGGGGCACGGCCAGAAAGGTCTGTTAGTATCTAATAGCTGGCCTCTCCTTTGCTAGACCTTGTGCACAGCTTACCTGGCGCCTTCTGTGCCATCGTTTCTAGAGTAGTCTTCGTAGATGCCTTCTGTTGGGAGCAGCCCGGGGAAGAGTGTTAGAACTTGTATTCCTAAAGGACTGAAGATAATCTAAAAGTAGCTGTAAGGTAGACAGGCTTAAGGCAGTTCATGAAACCCAGGAACTTTGTTGCTGTGTTTCTCCTTTTTTCCTGGGTTGGGAGTGAGTAAGTGTAGGGCTCCGTGTAGCTGCAGAATTTACTGCTGAATGCAAGAGAGAGATTATCTCTCTAATTTAATGGGGAAAGCCATACAAAGACCCATACACCGGAATGGTCTGGGACTGCTGAGTTAGTAATCACTCCAGTGGGCTCCTTACTTGTCCCGTGAGCAGGCTGAGGGCCCTTTATAAGCTTGTTGACTTTGGGAAAGAGAACTGCTTTTCCCCATCAAGCTGTTTTTCCAAGTGTTCTCATGTCCTTCCAAAGATGAATTTCTCATTCCTTTATCTTCTGTGCCTTATCTTGTATGGAGGTGATAAACATCTTTTCATTAATAACACATGGGAAGTCTTAAAGCCCTTGTGCACTCCTATGATTTGTTTATGGCAATGGGAGGTCACTTTGTAGAGATTTTGATTTCGGGTTTTAATTAGTTGATTCTTTTTTGTAAAGGTGAATAGAGGTAGTAAAGTGTAGCCATGGTTATTTTGAGTAACTGTCCATAAAACACTGTAAGTTTAAGTTAAAGAATGTTTGCAGTTTTAACCTATTTATAAATCAGTGTAGATGATAGGTTTATGGACATATGTAATGATGCTTTGGATCACAGAAACCCTTATCCTTTTCTAAAAGGTCAGCTAAAAACTGTTCATTGGCTTGTCAGTACAGCATGGCAGTGCTGGGTTCTCTGTTAAGCTGAGGGGTGAGATCATGTTTTCTGAGTTCTTCAAAGTCCAGGGTCAAGCATGTGAGTTCAGTAAATTCTTTTTTTTTGTCGGTCGTGGGGCTTGAACTCTGGGCCTGGGCTCTGTCCCTCAGCTCTTCAGCTCAAGGCGAGCGCTCTACCACTTGAGCTACAGCGCCACTTCCGGTTTTCTGGTGG